TGGAGAGGTTTTCGCTACAGGGCACATGCGCTCGCTAGACAGACAGAGACAGACAGAGAGACAGAAAGCGAGAAATCACTGCCCAGGTGGTATGGCCACGCCACAATCCCTTCTCCTCCATTCTCCTCTCGGGATCTTGGGCACACACACACATGCGTCCGGCATGATATTTAAGTCACCAGGTCCGGGACACGAACCACGGTCGACTATGTGGGAGTCCAGTGACATAGCCATTACGCTAACTGCTGGTTCCCCCACCCCCAGGTTTTTGATGCTGTGAACCACCCACCAGGCTTCAGTCTGAATCATGGGCACCCGTGAGCACAGGGCATGCACGTTCAGGAAGATCTCTGGATGTAAACCCGGAACCTTCCCACAAAGGTCAGCTTTGCAGAGTGCCGTGTGACACTACCAATGTCTGCCCCTCATCCTGTGATTCTAACCTATGAGGGAAAGCGACAGTGAAGAGGGGAGAGGATTCACTTCTCCCAGGTGACTGCAGCACTGTCTGGTCTCCCAGGGAAGCTCGAAGCTGCATTGTGCCCAAGACACACCAACATGACAGTGGCAGGAGGTCCTATAGACATCACCATCTCATCCCTCAACCCCTCCCAACCCCCACTTTTTTTTTTTTTTTTCTTCCTGCTGTGATTTCTGCTCAGGGAGGTCTACTGCCATGAACACCTTATCTCTGCCCTCTTGCTAATCTACCTGCCCACGGTCACTAGGCCCTTTATATCTCCGTAGGGTCTCCTCTGTGTTAACATTGCTCTGTCCCCATAGCTACCTCCCATAGTGATCACAGTGGGTTCTGAGCCTGAGTCAGGGACCTCCTTGTCATTCCTCACCTGCTTCCTGTCCATCGTCATAGAACACCAAGAACTCCCCTCTTTGCTAACAGAAGTGTGGTCAGGTCAATCTCCTTCCACTCATCCCAAGTGGGTGAGACTCCTCCTCCCCTTCCCAGCACCCCTCTTACCATCCCTACAAACCTGGGCCCAGCTGTGGGAGCCACGTGCAGTCCTTCAGGTGGCTCAGCTATTCCATGCATCCAAGCCTTTGAGTCCCCCATAACAGCTTTCTTGATATTTAGCTTGAAAAATTGACCAAGGGCTTGGCATTTTGATTTCTGGAGATCCACACTGTTCCTGACAACAAGTACAGCAATCCCCGAGGGACTTCTGTGTGACTTTGAGCCAGTCCCTCCACCTCTTCAGGTTCTGCAAACTCTCATCACTGGAAATATTATTTGCCATCTACCTAGCCACGAGTTACGAACATAAATTAACATTTGCGAGGGCCTTAAAAGAAACACTCAAAGGAAAGACACTTGGCAGTGAGTAAACACTCTTCATTGGTGCCAGTTCCAGAGGGCAGTCTTTCAGGTCGCGAATAGCAATGTCTGACTGCTTAGTCCACAGACTGAGTGTCGGCCACCCTCTTTGACAAACCTCCCAGCAAAGTTGTCTTGAGAGAGGAGCCCAGTAGGCAGGAAGCCCACCAGCACTCTCAGCTGAGTTGCCTTGTCAACCCTGGAGCACCTGGGCTCACTCTCCTCTCTCACTAGGGGCTCCTCTCCAAGGCTCTGAGAAACAGCACACAACAAAAGTCAGTCCTGGCCAGGCCTGTTCTTTGGGCACACTCCCTTCAGTGTGAATTCTAAGCTTCAGCTTAACTAGTTTCCTGTCGAGGACAAGTCCTTCCCTCTGCCCTTGACCATGATCCGTTGTTAAGGCCTTGCTCAATGAAGAAGCAGCATACTCTCAGAGCTGACCTCTAGTAATTCTACCAGATCTGGCCAATGGGACTAGGGAGGAAGGGTGAAAAATGTTTACCCTACAAGAAAGACTTTCATGGGATCAGACAGTAGCAACACAGTTAGGTGCACCTCTCTGTAAGGCAATTCCACATGGGAAGGTTCCTAGTTCAACTCCAGAGACTTGAGTGTGAGTACATAGGGCACATGTGTGGCCATGACCCAGGACTGGCTGAGGCTAGTTGTAGATCGTGGGATCGAGATCCAGCTGGGTGTTATCTCTATCTCTCCTCATGCAAGAAATTAGCTCAAATAAAGAAAAATTAATGAAGAGAAACCAAGACTTTTTGCCCTGTCCCCTTCAACTCTCATTGAGGTCACATGGTTGATATCTCTGTAGCCCTATTGCGACCATGAGGAGAACATGGCATTGCAGATGGCAAGACGGAGAGGGAGAGCCTGGGATCTCGAACAGTGTCAGACCAATGAACCAGCCAGGCTCCGCCATACTTCTCATTCTAAGAGATAATTTTTAAAGCCAGTCTAGGTTTGGTATTCTGATATTTGTAGTTGTAGCCATCAAAATAATATAGCAAGTCATTTTACTTTAGCTCACTAAAGTAACATTTGCAAGGACCTTAAAAAAATACTCAAAGGAAGCACTGGGTCAGCATGCTTCGTTGGTGCCAGTTCCAGAGGACAGCCTTTCAGGTCGCGAATAGCAATATCTGACTACTTAGTCCACAGACTGAGTGTTGGCCATCCTCTTTGACAAACCTCCCAGCAAAATTGTCTTGAGAGTGGAGCCCAGTAGGCAGGAAGTCCACCAGCACTCTCAGCTGAGTTGCCTTGTCAACCCTGGTGCACCTGGGCTCACTTTAGCTCACTAAAGTAAACTGGGGGCACTGACAAAATGATCTCTAAGGTACCTTTAAATTGAAACCTTCTGAGATACCTCCTAATGCTACATTTTTCTAGAAGCTTCCCAGACCTCACAATCTCTTAAGTTGGGATGTGGCTGCCTGTGAACAGGTGACTAGACCTTCCTTTCTCCCTTTCATTGTCCATGGACACACTGTGTTTTTTATTTTTGCACACACTGTGCTTTTTATTTTTTAAGTTTATCTATTTCTTCCATAAGTGAAAGAGAGAGAGAGAGAGAGAGCGAGCACCACCAACAGGGTCTTGATATTACAATCCACCTCCAGGCTCAGTCAACCCTGCATCATAAGCACAGGTGTGCCCAGTGTGTTCAGGGAGGCCTTGAACCTGGGACTTGTGGGTCAGCCTCTCTACGCATCATGTTTTACCACTGCACCACCGTCTAGTTCTTGATCCTTACAACGATCTGATGACTCGTCCTGCAGAAGTGGCTCAGTGAGATTAGAAGTGTGTTCATGGACACTACTGCATTCGGGCTTGCATCTGCCTGACTCCATAGCCCAAGTTCCTGACCACTTTGCGGAATTGTCTGTGCTCACCTTGAAACATGTTTTAGGCAGTTCTAATAAACAGTATTTCTCAATTTCCGATGCCCACACAGGGCGTGAACTCCAAGAGTTCACAGACCTTGTCCTGACCTGAGGCGGGACCCTAGCAGATGCATATTAGAGACTGTTGGCATGGCTGGCACAGAATAGGCCAGTCAGCTGGGGCCCTGGACCCAGGCTGAAAGAGCACAGCATACTGCGTCAGAGCAGTCAGCCCCAGGCGTGAGGCAAGAACACACGCGGTGTTTAGTTTTCCCTCTTCTGGGTTCTGTGGTGTTCTGTCTGTAGGGGACAGCGAGGCTTCGTGAGTTCTTCCTCTCATTCTATTAAGAAGCCCTGCTGCTTGGGCCCACCTGGGTGTGGAAATGATTAATGCACAGTGACAGGAGCTCTGGCCTGCTGCCCCGGCTGGAGTGGTGATTTGCCAGGTGCTATTTCCCTCATCGAAGGGGGTGAGCAGGTGACCAGGCCCAGTGTGTTTTCCTCTGTTGGGGACGGTGGCTTCATTTTCATTATCAAGGTTTGAATTAATCCAGGCCACAACAGCCTTCTCCAGGTGGGCTGGGAAAGAGGGAAGTGAATAGGAGAGACAAGGAAGGAGAGAAGATAGAAAGGGAAGAGAAAGGGGTAGGGGTGATGGAGGAAGCCTCAAAGGGAGGGGTGAGGGAAGGGGAAGGAAGATGGAGGAAGTTCTGCCCAGCTGCCTGAAGCCTGGGTTTTTAAGAGTAGTAGAGAAAATGAGAGAGGAAAGATTGAAGCTGTCACGTGGATTATCCTAAATTCCCTGTGGCAACCAGGACTTTCTTAGCTTGGGCCAACCTAGGCATGTGATCTGTTACTATGGGACCAGGGACAATGCCTTCACAGAGCCACATTTAGCCACCAGCTAGTCAAGGGCAGAAAGTTAAGCTCCAGGGCTGAACAGTGTACTCAACCTACTCTGTGACTTCTCTTCTCCTCCCACAGACAAATTCCTAAGGAATCCCGAAGACTTCCATCTCAGAGTGGGGATGTGTCTGTGAGCATTTGAGAGCTTTACTCTTGTCACATCCATCATGGGAAGTCCACAGCAAGTCTGTCTCTGGTGCTCGCAGGTTGGCAGAATACCTGGTCTGGGTGTTTCTTCCTCTGCTCAACTTCCTCTCGGTAGGAAAATTCAAGCTGGACGTTTTAGCAGCCACTGACTGTGACAAAAGGTGTGGAGTCTCTCATTTGTACAGACTGGATTCGTCACAAATTTACCAGGTCAAGAATACCAGAGAGAGTACTTCAACCTTCAGCGGCTGATCATGGAAAATATGGTGGGGATCCACAGCACCATCGTAAACTGCATATTGTTACCAGAATTAAAAGTACAAGATGGCGTCCATACTGGGAAAAAGAGAATAAAGATGCTTGAATTAGAAAAAGCACATACCCCTCAAGTTCATAAGAATATCCCTTCAGTGAATCCAAAACTAAAAGTAGTTAAACATTTGATAAGAATTCAGCCCCCATTATAATAATAATAATAAAGAATTGAGCCCCTGAAGTTGCCCCAAGGACTTCCCACAGAGGAGGACATGTCTACCACGTGCCTTGAGAGCACAGGGGAGTTAATAGTATGGTTACATCTGAAGGCTGTAGAGCCCAAAGCAGTGAAACCCTGATGCCAGAGCAGCTTCAGATTGCAAAATGCAAATCTTTGTTTATTTAAAGATGGTAAGAAAGTGTTTCATTAAAATATGTTATAAATACCAGTAAGTAAGTAAGTAAGTAAGTAAGTAAGTAAGTAAGTAAATAAATAAATAAATAAATAAATAAATAAATAAAAACAACCTGGTCTGGACTCCCTTCATGTGGGCAGGCACACCTTAGCTGATGGGGACTCAATTCAAAACTTGAAAACTGGGAGGCTCTTCTGTGTCTTGGCTGTATGTTCTTGGCCCCAAGGTCAACCCACTGAATCTCAACTCAGCTACAGCTCAGGGTACGCACCTCTCAAAGAAGCTACTGGAATGCCCACGTCCATCTGGGTCATGTGAAGATTGAGCATCTTCTGGGGATGCTGGACTTGATGACTCCCCAGTTTAGTAGACCTGGCCATTCCTTAGATAAGCTCAGGGGCGTCATCTGGAACCTGGTTCCCTTTTCAGAGTCCTAATGAAAAAGGAAGAGTGGATTCTCTGTCTTGGGCCCTGTGTTAGGTTCCTCAGCTCTTATAACAAAGCACCCAGAGGCTTAAAACAAATGTATTGTTTAACAGTTCTGCAGGCTGGAAGTCCAAAATCAAGGGAAGAGCTGGGTTATGCTCCCTCTGAAACCTGTAGAGATGATCCTTCCTTGCCTTTTCTAGCTTCTGGCAGAGTGATGGCAGTCAGGTTTTGCTGGCTTGCAGCTGCCTGTCCATGTGGTCACATGGCACTATCCCTGTGTGTGTCTGTCTTCACATGGCCATCCTCTTATAAGAATACCAGTCACGTAGGATTAGGGCCCACCCAACTCTATTATGACCTCACCTTACCTAATTACTTCTGCAAAGGCCCTGTCTCTAGATACAGTGATAGTTTGAGGTACTGGGGAGTGGGACTTAAACATCTCTCTTTTGGGAGGGCACAATGTGACCCATAACTGGGAATCTGAGGGGCAGGATTTTCTTTCTCATTCCCTGTGCAGTCTGACGGTTGACTTAATGATGAACAGCTCAATCATGCATGCTTTAAAAGGCATTCATTGCTGTAGCCCTGAGTCTCTCTGGACACAGATTCAGATTCAGCAGGTCAAGGGAGGGACCTGGGAGTCCACATTACTAACAAGTTCTGCAGTAATGCTTGTGTTGTTGTCAGCTAACCACAGATTAAATAGCAAGGAGTTAGTCCAAGAAGACTTCCTAAGGAGATCAGGCCTTGCTTGCCCTGGGAAAAAGGAGAAGGCTGCAAGTTGTGTTAAAAAGGAGACATTATGAGGGGACTCCAAAAGTTCATGGAAAAATTAATTTAAATATGTTTATTTGAGTGCAAAAAATTTTGAAATCTGCATAGTTTTTTCATAATACACATTTTTCATAAACTCAAGGACCTTTAGTATAGTCCTCCAATTTAATAGGCACCAAAAAAGTAGTGTCCCCATTATGAATGTATGGTCCATTGTGCTCCACATCCTTCTCATTGGCCAAATTCCTGGAAATGACAGAGGACAGACAGAGTCGCCAGCTTCCGAGGAGATGCATCACTTCTACCTGTTGCCAAGACAGCCCCAATTCAATCAAATCTCGAGGTTTTATTTCTCTTGGGAAATATCTTAGAAATGTGATTTTTGCTGGGTCACATGGTAAATTTGTTTTTTTTTTTCTTTTTATAACTTCTTTTTTTAGATATAATTCACATTCTATGAAGTTTACCCTTTCAAAGCAAACAGTTTTTAGTAGATTTACAGAGTTGGACAACCATCATCACCATCTAATTCCAAGATATTTTGCCAACATGGGCTGTTAAGAAAAATAGTAATTCACCCATAACAGCATATTGTGCTAAAAACGAACAGTTCCCCATACTCATTCCAGCTCATTTAAGGCTCACCACAATCCCATGAATATGACCAATGTCCTCATTTTACAGATAGAGAAATCGAGTCACAGAGGTTCAGGAACTCCTTAAGGTAGACCAACCTAGAGCGGGTAGGACCACTGCTCATACCAGATGTCCAAGATGTCCTCAACCCTCAGCAGTGCCTTCTGCTCTTCCCATGTGGATGACTTGTGGCTGACCCATCCATCTCTGATGTGTTACATACTAGGGAGTGAGGGGCACCTGTAGGGGACAGGCAGATACTGGCTCAAGAGCAGGTGCTGGGCTCCTCACCCAACCCACATGGGACAAAGCTAAGGATACAGTTGGTGGTGTAAGAGCCCTTCTGGGAAGGAGCACTTTTCTGTGGTGCCAGGAAAAGTGCCATGGGCAAGTGCCAGGCTTTCCTATGGGATCATTGGGTGATCTCCTGTGTGATCACTGGGGGCTGGATTCAGGAAGAACTCTCATATTAACTCAGCACCCCATTGTTACAAGCTCTGCGTCATGGCTGGAGCATAGCAACGGCATGGGCTTATGTCCACACGGGGAAACCAGGGGCTCTGATGACAGTCTATCCTCCCCTCTTCTGTGCCTTTAGTTTCCCCAGCCAGACTGCAGGATGCTGCCCTGTTGAGCAAGGGAGAGTGCCATGCTCCAAGGAAGCTACAGAAAGCTGGGGCCTGCAGGACCCAGTGTTCCTCTACCTTTGTCCTGTGCCAGCCTGGACTTCACCCAACACCTCCAGCTTTACCATGTGGCTCCATGCACGTGGCTGCCACCGCCCCGGAGAGAGCTACATATTCCAGGTGCTCCATTAACCTTAGGATGGCTTGGCCCCAGAGTCTTTTCAGACCCATCTCTCTGCCCACCTCTCCGGAAGCCCCCCTCCCTTGGCACCAAGCTATCATGCTCATTTGGTTGTGAGATGGAGCATGAGCCATTTTTCTCTTTCTTTATTGTGGTATAATTTACATAAAGCGAAAGGCACAGATCTTAAAGTCTACAGTTTGATGAGTTTTGACAAATGCATTCATCCACGTAACCCCCACTTCTATCAAGATGTGAAGTATTTCCATCACCTCAATGTTTCCCTGGTGCCTTTCTCAGTCAACCCCCTTCCCAGCCCCAGGCAACCTCTGATCTGCTTTTTGCTACAGCAGATTAGTTTTGTCTCCTCTCTAACTTTATAAAAGCATTTCTTCAATGACTAATAATGTTGAACATCTTTTTTTAAAATCTTATGGGTCATAAATAAACCTTCTTTTGTGAAGTGTTTGTTCAAGTCTGCCCATTTTTTCAATTAAAAAAAAACTGAGTTATAGGAATTCTTTGTATTCTGGATATGAGCCCTTTATAAAATATATGTTATAAATATTTTTTCCCAATTTATGGTTTGCCTGTTCATTTTCTTAATGATGTGTTTCAAAAGCAGAAGTTTTAAATCTTGCAAAAGTCCAACTTATCATTTTTTTTCTTTATTAATGCTTTTTGTGACCTAAGTAATCTTTGCCTACCTGAGGCCATCAAGATAGTCCCTTCTGGGTTCATTTTTTTACACTTGGTAATAAAATTTTTAACTTTTGTATTTAGGTAAATGGTCCAACTTATATTAATTTTGTGTGAAGTAGGGGTTGAGATTCTTTTATTTCCTTATACAGACAAACTGATTGTTCCAGTACTATTTGTCAAAAAGACTTTCCTTTTTCCATTGAATCGCTTTGGCACCCTAGTTATTTTTTATTAATAATAAAGTATAGATGACTTCAAATGATTCACTCTTGATAAATTAGAAGCTGTTTAAAAATAGATTTTAAGGTTTCATTTATAATAATGTCAAGCTCACAGACGTGCATTCTGAAATCCTTTCTTGACTGGGAGAGATGGCTCACTGTGGCCAGTTAGCCATGACCTGTGCACAGCCCTTGACACACTGCCTGGCATGTGATCTTCTAATAGCCAAGGGTGTGGTAGTGACCAGCATCTGGGAAGTGCTATGGAGAGTGCAACACCCTGGTTTCGTTTTCAGATTGACCCTTGCAGTTTAAGCAGTCTCAAGTACCTACTCTGATTACTCCTGTTAAACTCAGTTTTCTCTATTGTTTTGATGCATGAGCAGGTCAAGCCCTCTCTAAGGCCTGTATCTAGAGTAGACAAAGACGGACATACATCATTTCAAGAGGAAAGGCTAGGAGGGCGTGTACTATTTTCTTCCTGAAGCTACAAAGGGTTATTGAGTTCTCATCTGTCTTCTGTTCTTAGCAGACACATTGTAGGATGGGAAGACCGTGGACTTTGGTTTCATGGTGAAACCCCATGACTGGAAGAATCTGGGTCTCCTAGTAGAATGGTGGCTCCCTTTCACAGAGCTTTTGTGAAGCTAGAGTGAGATGCATATAAGTTTCACACATACAATTTTCTTACTCCTTGCTGAGCCAAACTCAGGCTGAGGTAGGAAAGGCAATGTGAGGAAATGAAGGCTTAGGGTTGTTAAAGACTGTTCTGTGACAGGGCTGAATTGAAATCTGACTCTACCTTAGGCTCAGTCTTCTGCTCTGTGGAATCTCCTTACTCCACTTTCCTCCTGAACACAGCCCAAGCTCAGAATGAGCCAGAGAAAGAACCTGAGCAAGGTTGTCTTGTTTGTGTATGTGTGTGTGTTTCTTCAGTTAAAGAATGAGGCATTTTTGGATAAAGAAACTACTAGAAAACTTAGAGGCAGCTTGAGTGATTGCTTAGAGCAGGAATAAAGACACTCTCTCCTTCCTGCTGGCCCACCTCCCAAGTGCTGAGATACACCTTTGTGCCTGGAGACAAAGATTGTTGTTGCAGGGTCTTCAGATAGTTCATTAGAGTTTCCCCTGCCAATCAGGAGTTGACTTTTCCAGCTCTGACAATGTTCTTGTATATGATTTGCCATCCTGAAGCTACCATAGTTACAAGTATAAATCGATTGATAACTTTGAGGATCTGAGGATAAAGAGGAGCTTCTAATGTTTTCAACATAGAACTCAAGGGCCCATGTCCCATGGTCTGCTACCTGAGAAGGTTCTGTCGCATGTCTGTGGCTGCTGATCTGGAGGTTGAAGCCCTCTACTGATGATGTCACCTCTAAAGTAGTGGCCCATCCACCATTGCCATGGAGCAGAATGAGGTTTTAATCTGGCTGTGGAAGTATTTGGGCAAGTGAATGGCGAGGAGTAGGAGGCAAAGTTAGGAGAGCAGATCTGAATGTCAGAGAAGCTTTCCTAAGACTTGACTTTGCAACTTACTGAGTACACTAATCTCTTACCTAGGGAATGGGGAGAAGAGGGAGCCAGCTTCATACGCTGGTAAGGACCTCCCTCTATGGGGCTGAATGCATATACAGCATTGCACCTACATCCATTGCATGAATGGCAGCCACTGTCACTGTTGTTAGTGATGGTAATGTCCTCCTTCTACGAGGAAACAATGATATGACCTGCAGATGGGTAGAGGGCAGATGGCCATGGCTAGTAGTCACTAAGTGCTATTTGAGTGATGTTGGACAGTGAGCAGAGTGAATTCCTAGCATGAGAACTGAGGACACTCATGTGACTACTAGGGTGTCTGGGTAAGTAGAGCCCACACTGGGAGCATTTGGAGGCTGCCATATGAGGAGGACTTCAAAAAGTTTGTAGAAAAATGGAATTAAAGTACCAAAAAATAGAAATCTATTTTTTCGGTGTAAAAAAATAGAAATCTATATAGTTTTTCATAACACACACTTTCATGAACTTATTGAAGACCCCTTCTATAGTTTTTGAGTTCACTTTCATGTTTTTGCTTATACTGTGTGAAAAAGAAAAAAACCTCCAGTGTTGATGGGCTTTCTTTTCCATTTTTCGACTGCCTGACAACCAGCCACAGCTGGGAGCATCAGGCCATTGTTGCTACACTGATAGGCTCCAGGATGGATGAGCAAGAGGACAAAGCACAGGGAGTCAATTCAATAGGGTCTATGCAGCTGGAGACAGCAAGGCAGGGAGGCGACCAAGGCACATGTGGCTATGGAACCCTGGGTCCTCCATCCTATTGAGACTCCAGAGGTCACAGGACTGATCATCACAACATTCAAGTGGCCAGTGCCTGCTGGCCTTGGGTCTGGTTGATGTCTCTAGAGGCCAGTCATGGGGCCAGTTAAGACATGCACTAGAAGGATTCTGGGTTCTCACAACTGGGACACAAGCTTTTAATCACCCTCAAAACAAGAGCATTTCTACTCCTAAGGATGTCCTCTCACACCATGTCTAGAAGAATCAGAAAAGAAGGGTGCAGTGATGCTTCTTTAAATGACTGGCAGGTCATGAGACTATAGACAAGGGCTCAGCTTGACCCTCTGACCTCAAAAATTATGGGCTCTGCAGAAGTTTTGTACCTGAAGACCCATTCAAGATGCAATGTGATGTTATCAAAAATGCTCTGGAGATTCAAGTTCCAGGCCCAGCTCTACAAACACTTAGCTGTTGTTGTGTCCTTAGGTAAGTTGCTTTGTCCCTTGGACATCAGTGTTGCTATGGTTTGGACAATGGTTTGTCTCCCAAACGTCCAGGTATTGGGAATTGGTGAGATCCAGCATGGTGGGCAGTGTTGGAATCATAGAGGCATCACCTTCATAAACGGATTAGTGCTATCTCACGAGAAGGCATGAGTTCTAATTCTCATAAGAAGGGGTTAGTTCCCACAAGAGCTGGTTGTTATAAAAGTAAAGATGCCCTCAGATCTTTTGATCTATACTTATCTGTTAACCTTTCTGCTTTTCTCTTCCACACTGTGATGTAGCACCAGAGGCTGGCCTGATGCTGGCTCCATGTATTTGGACTTTTCAGGTACCAGAATTGTGAGTCAAATAAACCTCTCTTCTTCTTCCTTTTTTTTTTTTTTAAAGAAATTTCTGCTACAGTGTGAGTGTATTCACTGGATTGACAGAGAGATACAAAGGAAGAAATCATCCCCTTACTCTGGGAAGGAGGGCGGAGGAGGAGGGCGGATGGCCATGCCACCATCTCTTTTCCTTAATTACCCTCTTGAGATTTGGGGCACACACACACATGCACACACACACACACACACACACACACACCTGGCATGAGTTTCAAACTGCTCGGTCCAGGACCCAAACCATAGTTGACCACATGAGAGTACAGGGCCTTAACCACTACACCACCTCTGGCCCCAAACCTCTCTTCTTTATAAATCACCCAGTCTCCAGTATTTCTTGTAGTAGCACAATAATCAACCAAAACAAGCGTGCTTCCATTGATCCTAGGGAGAGACACGAATGCCTTCTTGGACTTGTTCTAGTTGTAATGGTTCATAATATCATCTTTTACTTCATCAGTAATAATCAGAGCAAGGTATCCTTTTTTGATAGCTTATTAGGTACAGGATTCTGTGCCATGTGTAGCACCTACAGCACCTCATTCAGTCCTCACAACAAAACTCAGAAGCTAGCACTGCTAGTGTTCCCACTTGACAAAGGAAGAAACAGAACATCCTGGAGGGTTGTAGTGATGGTGCTGGGATTAGTCACCATGCTCTACTTTATATGGGAACTGTGTGATTCTTGAGCTGCAAAAATGGCTGTTCACCTCATAGACTGACTTGCTTTTCTTTCATTTCTTCCCCTTAATTAATAATTTATTCTTCTACGGGAATCAAATGAAAAAAGCAGGCGCTGGACAATTCCAGGATTCCTGGTGGCTGAGAAGACCCAGTTCTGGCATGAGTAGGGTTCCTGGTGGTTGGGAAGCCCTACTTCTGGCATGAGTACCAGCTAGAGTGAGCTCTGAGGAGGTCTGTGCAAGTCTTGTCATCTAGAGTTCTCAAGAACAGGGCAAGGCTGGCCCTACAGCTTTCATTTAGACAGACATTGTTAATTTGGTGGCAGCAGCTTGAACATGAGGCCTGCCATCTCCTGGGTACCTACATAGCCAAGTCCTATGATTTCTTAAGGCCTCTGTTCCCTCATCTGTGAAATTTGGGTAACAGTCGATCATACCTCATGGGGTGTGGTGGGAAACATTCAAGAAAGGCCCCTGTGAACCCTCTGGAATGCTGGCCCTACCCCAGGGCCTAGTATAGGGCTTGGCACAAGCACAGTGCTCGACAAACAGCTGCTCAGCTGTGGGCCAAGGGGCAGCACCACGCTTTTGCATTGTCACCCCCAGCTCTTTTCCTTATCGTTAGAGAATATTAACGGATATGCTTAATTGGTCACGGTGGGGAGGGGGATATCTGGAAGTGCAGCCCAAGGCTGGATCAGCAATGGCCTACTGCAAACATTCCAGGAGAAGAAATTTCCGATCACAACAGGTGTTCCCACTCAGACCCACACACTTGAGGAATCACCCCCAGTGTGTCCCAGGACCTGGGACGGTGGTTTGCTTCCAGGCTTATGTGTAATGTCCAGGTTATGGCTTCCCTAGTTCCCTTGAAAATCCAATGGGAAAGTCTAAATGAATACCACAGTGAGATGACATTAAAGCCTGTCCTCACTTTGGTGAGCAGCTGCCCTCCCCCCATGCCATTGGCTGATAATGGCCACCCCTCATCAAATATTTACGCCAGCACTTGCAGTCCTCCATCAGCCTCCAGCATCATGCCAGGGCAAGCATCTGACGATTAAAACCAGTCAGGAATGAAGCAGGCAGACTACAAAGTGCCCTGGATGGAAAGGGGAGACTATCAAAGCCCCATGGTCTTCCTTAAAGGTCACCTTCCGGAAGAGGAGGCCTCCTATTGGGAAATGAAACTCACAGGGAGTTCAAGGTCCTGGCCCTTCCTGTGCCTCCTAGACTCTGGGACAGTTCTCCCCCCTTTCTTCCTTCTCCAGTGGGGCAGATGGCAGCTAAGCCCAAGCCCTGGGACCACAGGCCTGACTCTAAGCCACAGGTTTATGAAAAGCAATACATACACTACCTTGGCTCGGAGCACTGACTCCCTTCCCTTCTGAGGGAGCCCTGGCATTTCATCAGAGCCTCCTTTGAAGCCTGCCCTTTGCAAAACAGAAAAAGGAGAGAAGGGAGGAAGGCATGGAAGCTGATTCAAAAGGCTTCCTGCATTGTGTCTGGAGTTTCTGATGTCCCTTTGTGTGGCTTCACTCATCACACGGGTGGAAGAGCCTGTCAGGCAAGAAATCATGCTGGTGTTTAATGGAACCCAGGGACCAATTAACCATATTGGGCGCCAACGGGCATAGCATTTCTAAAAGGAATACAAGGGAATGCTGATGTTATTGCTCCTTTCTCCCTTCCCCCAAATAAAAGACAAATGCAATGTCAACGGTTTCTCAAGAGTGCTGCTTTATTTTCTGCCACTCCTAAAAATGACCCACTTAGCAAAAGGTGAGTGACGCCCTAGTTCACAAGCAATCTCTTGTTCTCTTTCAGTGAATGCTGGCGCTTCGAGAGGGCTGAGCCTGGGTGAGTGGTGACATCAAAACCTGCCCTCCACGCCCAGCAGCTGCACCGCGGCCTCCTGCACCGCCTGGTGGACACGACTGACCTCTTTCTGGGACAGGGTGCGCTCCATGTGGCGGTAGGTGATGCGGTAGCAGTGGCTGGTCTTGTGTGTCCTGGAGAGTGGAAGAGAATGCAGGTAAGTGAGGGGCAGACATGCCCGGACCTGCAAGAGGCAAATGGCTGGTTCTGATCAGTCTTCCTGACTGCGGTAGATGGGACCCAGGTTGGTCAACCAATATGACCTTGCAGAAATACCACTTACCATGAATGGCCTGCATCTTCTAAATGCTTTATGGAGAAGATGATAGGGAAATATTAACTAAAATAATTGAGACTGCTGGTTCCCACTGGACCGGATGTATCAGAGTCCCCTGGTGAGGAAACTTTTGACATATTTGCCTTCTGAGGCCAAGCCCTGGAGATTCTGAATCAGAAGCTAGGAGGCGGGACTTGGACTTCTGAACTTTGCCACACTTCCCAGAGAAATGGACGCACAGGTAGGGTCAGGAATCAACATCAACACGCCACCACTGGAGACAAGGCTCTAGTCACCCAGAAAGCTGAGGAGGTACCCCTTTCTCAGCACTCTGGGAAGCCATGGAAGGTGTGTAGACAATTATGCTGTATCAATCATATACAAGGGGTCTTCAAAAAGCTCACTGAAAATGTATATTATGGAAAACTATGCATGCATTTGAAAACTTTTGCACCAAAAGAAACTCATACTTCAATTCCATTTTTCCCAGGAATTTTTTGAAGCCCCCGCTTATGTGCAGCATAAGCAATTTTGTTCTCTGAGTTACTGTGGTGGCATGGACTTAGTTTTGCAGGAACAGCTGGGTAATTCGTGACTGTGGGAAATGCTGATGCCTTCCACCTGCACAGCAGCTGCTAAGACACACTGGTAAGCTGGTTCATCAGAAAGACCACCAGGCTACGAGCTGCCTCCCGCTGGCTGCATGGCTGAGGTCTGACACCACCCCTCTCTGGGCATGCATGCTTCTCTTCTGTGTGATGAGGGGACTCATTCAACTTCAGAGACAAGTTTCCTCTTTTCCAGCCCAAGACCCAGCAGAGTCAACCCATGTCCTTCCTCAGCTCAGGTGAAGAAATAGAAAATCCATGTGGATCCTGGGCAGATCTTCTACAGGATGACCTCTCAGCTCAGTCAGTGGGAGGCCTGTGTTCTACAATAGGCGAGGCAGAGATGGACCTTCATTCTCATCTCTGGTGCCCACTGGAAGGCCTGGTAGTACCCATCAGTCTACCTGAGTCCAGAGCATTTGCTTCTGGGGCTGCATGATATTCAAGAATACTTCTCCCTCTTCTTTCCTCTCCCCTTCCCTCTGTTTAATGCCAGACCACTAGGCAAAGCTGAGTTGAATATGCCTGAGAAATGAAGAGTCTGTGTCGCCCAAGCCTTTCCAGGATGCTCTTTCAGTTCCTCTTCTAATGTTTCATCTCCTCTCTTCCTCCCCTTGGTTTCCTCACCTACATATTCTTCCTCCTTTCCTTCTGGAATCTACTTTAAGGAAGGATAAGCTTTTAAGATTAGGAGTGTAGGCCCCACAGGGCTATTTGCATTTCAGCCAGGTACAGAGTTTCTGATGGGATCAAGCCATAGGAAGAAGTTACCACTGAGGTGCTACAATACCCAAGCTGGTCTAAGGAAATAGTCTTCCTCAAGGGGCTTCCTGATAGCACACGCAGGTCTGCTGCATGCCTTCACCCAACCTCAGCTGCCTGGTCTAGGTGAAGGGGGAAAACGATCCTCCTCTCCACCCACCTCTTTTGTGGACTTGTCCATGGGGTGGACTTGAACTCCGATAGCTGGGGAAGATGTTGCTGCTCAAGTGGCCTCAAGGGCCTCCCATGAAGTGGGGCAGACCCTTCTTATTCTCTGCTCCCAATAGGAGGGACCCAGACACCACACTCACCCCAGGCCTCTAGGCACCAAAATGACAATGAGGCAGAATGCCTACTTCTCAGAGGGAAACTGAGAGGCTTTCTAGGAGCAGAAGCTGATGAAACCACACACCCAAGACCCCTGATGCTGCCAAGGACTGACTCATTCCATTCAAGCCACAATCATCTCGTTTATAGTTCATTGATTTTTGACAAGGGCATCATTTTCTCTATCCCAGGAGGAAGTGCCTTTTCAACAAGTGGTGCTGGGACAACTGGATATCCACATGCAAAAGACTGAAGTGGGATGCCTATTTCATATCACACACTAAAATTAATTCCAAATAGATCATAGCTCTAAATGTAAGAGATAAAATTATATGAGTCTTAGAAGAAAAAAGAGAAGTAAATTTCCTTGACCCTGAATTAGGCAAAGCCTCTTCAGATATGGCTTCAAAAGCAGAGGTGACAAAGAAAAAAATATGTTAAATGTGGACACTGGGACATGTAGATGGTGTAGTGGTTATGTTGTTGGACTCTCACATGGTCAACCCTGGTTTGTATCCCAGACCCAGTGGCTTGAAACTCACACCAGGCATGTGCTCATGTATGCCCAAGACCCCAGGAGGAGAATGGAAGAAAGGGGATTGTGGCATGGTCATCACCCCTGGGGGGTGAATTCTCACTTTCCCTTTCACTGTATCTCTCTCTCTCTCTCTCTGTCTCTTCAGGAAATCCACATGCCCTAAGGCAAAAACCTCTAAAAAATTGTGGATGTCATCAAAATTGGAAATTTTGTGTTTCAAAGGATACCATCTAAAGTGAAAAGTTGACCCACAGAAGAGAAGAAAATATTTGCAGATCATCTATGTGATGAGGAATTTGTATCTAGACTGTATAAAAAAATTCCTAAACCTCAACAATAAAATGACCAACAGCCCAGTCTTTTTTTAAAAAAAAAAGTGCAAAGAATCTACGAGACATTTCTTTTAAAAAGATATCCAAATGGCCAATAAGCACAGGAAAAAATGTTCAACGTCAGACTTTACAGAAATACAAAACCATTTTAAGATACCAATCCATACCCACTATATGTTGGCCACAAAAAACTCTAAAACAAAACAAAACAAAAAAACCCTACAAGATTATAAGTATCAGAGAAGAGACTTAGAGAAATTAGAAATTAGAACCTGTCTGGAAAATGACAAGGCTCTGAGAATTATAAAGTGCTAAAAGAGAGGACTTCAAAAAATTCATGAAAAGTGGAATTAAAGTATGAGTGTATTAGGGTACAGAAATTTCTGAAACCCATTCATGCATTTTCATGAACTTTTGAAGACCACTGTATGGCGTGAAGTGAAAGTATCCTTATGGCATTTTTCACTGGTTCACTTTGGTACCTCCTGGCAGAGGTGCTAATATGGCAGCTCTGCAGGTTACTCTGAATCAAAGATTAATGGTGTCATAGTGGTAAAGTGTGATTCTTTGCAAGGCTGGGGGGGGCTCTGGGTTTGCATTGAGAGGCCTCCTTGAGTATGCTGGGCATGTGTATGCCCATGATATGGGGCTGGGTAAAGTCGGGGGTGAATTGCAGCTCTAAGACCCTCTTGGAGGTGCTTTCTCTTGGTCTCTGTCTGTCTCTCTGGCTCATGGAAGAGATGGATGAGTAAACTTAAGAAAAGATGAATGGGAAAAAAATGTGTCTATTTCTATGCGCTTTATAAAAGGCCACTGTAAGGATTCTTGGGAATTCAAACAGCACTTATAAAACATTTTGATGAGTTAGGTGTAAATGAATCACAAACATATGGATTAATTTGATAAACTGAGAAAAATGTATTTGGCAGAATACATTTGGTGATTCTGCTGAATTCAATAGATTCAACCGGAAATCAATTAGATTTGCCTTTTCTAATATCAATGGATAGAGAAAGTTTTCTTTTGTTTCTAGAAACTTCTGTTTTTTTTTTTTTTAATATATACAGAGGTTTTTGTTATAGGGCACGTGCGCTCACCAGAAAGACAGAGAGAGACAGACAGAAAGAGAGAAATCACCCCCCAGGTGGGATGGCCATGCCACAATCTCTTTTCCTCCATTCTCCTCTTGGGATCTTGGGCACCAGGTCCAGAACTCAAACCACAGTCAACTACAAGGGAGTCCAGTAGCATAGCTATTCTGCCAACTGCTGGTCCCTGTTTCTAGAAACTTCTGTTTGGAGCTTTCAGATGGCAGGTACACTTCTTTTGCATTTTGGAAAACTGAAGAAATGGATCTGGCAACTAGTCAAAAGTGGAGGCTGTCATGAATGGAAATCTTGGGCCAGCAGGTGGCATAGTGGTTAAGGCACTAGATTCCCACAGGGTTGATCATGGTTCCAGTTCTGGACCCAGTGGCTTGAAACGCACACTGGGTGTGTGTGTGTGCGCATGTCCAAAATCCCGAGAGGAGAATGAAGGTGAAGGGACTGTGGCATGGCCATCCATCCTGCCTGGGGGAGGTGTGTGCATGCGAAAGATTTCTTGCTTTCTGTCTCTGTCTCTCCAGTGAGCACACATACTCCATAGCAAAAATCTCTCTCTCTCAAAAAAAAAAAAAAAAAAAAGAGAGAATCTTTTCAATCTTCAAGAGAGGTGTTCCCATGAAAACCTCAGAATCAACTGAAGATTCCTGCAGTTTATCACTGAATCAGTAAGTAAATGAATTCTTCAAAGGAAGAAATATCCTCAGTGGCCAATCCTAAGCATCTGTACTATAACCCTTCTTTTGTTCCTCCCAAGGTAGCTAGTCTCTCTCAGCACAGAAGCTTCTCCATCTTTCATCTGCAATGGTCCACACAGTCCTTTAACAACAATGCAGAGGCAGTAAACATTTATGTAGCACCTGTTAGGTGCCAGGCACTGTTCTAAGCCCTGTGTACACATTAAATCAGGTAGGCATCACAGCCCCATTAGCCTTATTGGCCCTGTTATACATGTGAGGAAACTAAGCACAGACAGCATTAAATAACTTGTCCAAACTCTCACAGCTAATAGCAGCAGGGCTGGATTCAAAGCCAGGCGATCTGGTGGGAATGTAAGCTAATACAAGTCATTCTGGAAAGCTGCATGGTGGTGTCTCAAAAAGTTAAACCTAGAATTACCAGCAGTTCTACTCCTACATATATACCCTAAAGAACTGGAAGCCAGAGTTGCAACAAAAACTTGTACA